CAGTTTATAGCTTTGGGTTTCTATGGCTCCTGCCATGTTTATTTATGTTTCTCTAACCTGGAGCATATAATAAGCACTACTAAATGCTGTTTCTAAAACTCAAATAAGTCCTTGCTATTTCCTACATCTGTCTCAAAATTAGGTGAAGTGTGAAACCATGGTATCCAAGATATTTGTCAAAGTATAACACAATGAAAATTTTCTCAACCGCCAGTGGCAATACAGTTTAGTGTCCAGTGGTTTCTTAATTCATTTCAAAGAACAGTTAAGGTGGCAGGATAATAAGCAGAGTGTGTAGCTACATTATACCCTATCCTAGGTAAAACTACTTGGCATTATATATACACAACCCATTCATCATTTATGCACTACAGAGATAGCTGACAATTTTTCATTCGACATGTAACAAAAGAAGCCTGAAATATCAGCTACACTAAACTAGAAAAACCAGGCATTTTTCATAACTTTGAAGATTATATCTAATTTTCATATATAAACAACATAGTTTATTTTTCCAATATAATCAAACTGTTTACTACTTACATTTGATAGGTAGCTTTGATGCACATAAATTACAATTTTAGGTTTTAGTGATGATTCTCTTTCACAGTTAATTCTACAAAGAATATATTGTACTGGTTTAAAGCATAAACTATTGACAAGAAAGATAATATGAATTCTGATTCCAATACCTAGAACTGCTTTATTTCAGTAGGCTCCCAAACCACTTAAAGTTTATATGTGCCCTATGTTAAGTAAGAACTATATTAGTATTTAATTTATGGGATAATCTACTTACATAATACTAGCTTACTATATCAGTGCGTACATCTAGCACTTTTAGCATAGTATCTGACACAATATTTTATAAGTCATAACAAACTGTATTATGTAGTTTACAGGTATAATTAATTCATTACAAATATACATGGGTGTTTTTCTTGTTTGCTTAAGACACAGTACCACATGGTTTACTTTGTCCTCAAACCTCATATATAACTGAGGTTGACTTTGAACCTCTCTGAACCACTTGCTTCCATTTTTCAAGTGCTTGGATTATAGGCCTGTACCACCACACCTAAGTTACTTAGGTTCTGAGAGTGAAAGAATTATTAGATATAACCATATTAGTATTGCTTGACATATCAATATAAAGGCATTTAAAGCCTACTTCAACTCATACAAGCACTGCTGCCAAAATTTATGATATCCCATGTTGTATCATCAGTTTTTCAGGAAAAAAATGATTATTAACAATAAATTTAAGATTCAAAGTGGTTTAAATAATAATAAAGATTACAGCACATTAATATTTATTCTAATTATTTAAGAATACCAAAAAAGCTTACCAAGCAATCCAGAAATCCAGCTTTCTAATGACTCTACTATTGAGTTATGAATGTTATGAATGCTAGAAAAGGGATTATCACCTGATCAAATAAAAGCACTATTCATGCGTTGTGTTACTATGTAGATGTTTTTACCATTCCACATGAATTAATTTCATCTTGAATAAATATTTGAGATCTACTCTGGATAAAACATGGGAAGAAAAGAGGAGTACATGGGAAACCGGGGATTCTGGAAAGTCAGAGAGCCAAACCATAAAATCTTCAAAAACACCAAACTTGGAAAATACATCAATAATATTTGACCTTCAGTGGGAAAACCACATCACTTCTCCCCTTAACATAATCTCTCTTTATCAAAAAGAAAGAAAAACCTTCCACTTACTATGATTCTCTACTAAAGAGTTAATACATTATGAGATATTTTTATTCTTTAATCTTAATTGAAACACTGAAATATATTTATTTCCATTCTAAATGTCATGATATTAAAAATTAAAGAGACCGGGTAATTCTTTGGAGTGTTTGATAGATACATAATCTATGCTTAAATCTTAGAAATCACAGTACATTTTTAGTTAAGAAATTATAATATTATTATCATTATTAATT